ATTTACCATTTCTTGCTTTAAGTGTTCTCTTACTTCTCCAGATCTTTAAATCATTCTCAGTCACTCTCTTATTTTATTTGGGATTTGTAGGTCTTTCTTCTATCTCTTCTGATATTTGCTGATTACTGATATCTCCAATTCCAGTGTATTGTGTAGGGACTATTTTGCAATTACTTATATCAGACTCTCTATCATTTTCTGCTCTGGGGGGCCTTTCATGGGGTCACATTTCACCTGCGGATGTATACTTTTTAATTGTCCCCAATTTGGGTCCGCCTTAGGCCCCCGGTTCCTTATGTACTTTTATTTGTTCATTTCTTCTGTAATACTTTTATTTTCTTCTCATAGGAGACTTATACTTTACATACACAGGGCATAGCTGATAAGATATAGAGTTTAGACATTTCCCAGCTTCTGTCTTCCCACCTTTCTGTACGCTCTTTTGGGCTACTCCTTTGCGCTCTATCTCCTTATTTTTATTATTCTCTGGGGGTCCCCCCCTTTTCGTCTTTCTTCCCAGCTCTATACAGTTTTTTTTGTTATTTTTGAATATTTGCGGGCCACCGCCAGAACTCACTCACTTCCTCCTTTCGCTTACTTGTGAGACAGCTTCAGGCTGCGACACCTCTCTCCATCACTCTTCGATTAGATCCAGGGCTCTCTTCCTTTCTGGGGGGAGACCCTCCTCTGGACATTCTCCATCACACTTCTAGATTTGTTGGATTGTTGGGTCATGCCTCACCATTGATCCCCTGCCAAGAGGCTCCAGGGATAGCAGGTCGTTCCCGACAGAACGGGTGAGTCTCTCCTTGCTCTCTGTCAGTCTCTCACAAAGACTGCTTTTGTATCCTCTGTAGGTTACTCCTTTTTTCCCTCAATACTGGTTTGTGAATAGAGGTTATTAATTCCTTAATCTCTTCGCTGGTGCGTACTGCCAAAGTCCCTTACTGCATAAGGGAGAGATGATTGTAATTACTTTGTGGTAATGAGATTCCTCTTTTTTGCATCTTGAGAGATAGAAGACATCACTGTTGATACCTGTTGGTTTTCCTTTGTGATTAGCGTTCGGTTATACTCTTCTTTATGTGGCATTTATGCAGAGATCTTCCAAATTTTGCTTGAAGGTGATTGTAGCCGCTATTATTAGTGCATTTGCGACAGAAACAATGTGAGTACTGTCCCGTGATACTTTTTTTTATTTTGCACCATATACACACAAATTTAAGGACAAGCTCTTTCGGGGCAGTGTCAGCCCTTCTTCAGGTTCAAGGCAGTAGTACTGATACTCAAGAGGGTTTAGGACGAGATGTTTATGGGCAGTTGGGAAGAAAAAGAAAAAAGAAAACAGAGACATAAGACACAGCAAACGAAAGCAAAAGTCTTCTGGGGATGGGTGGAGACAACACTCACATACTCGGCAGCTGATGCTTGAGGTGACATAGTCCTGAAAACTGTTGGGATAATGAGTGCAAGGCAATACCATGTCCATAATGCAGGCCCTGTTATCTCTTGTGTCAAATAGGAATTATCATTCTTAAGTATAAAAGTTTTTCTTTCCTGTAATGGATCTTGAGAAATTTCCCTTTAAGAAAATAAAATATTGAGGTCTAATCTAAGATTGTGTGTCTGGTTTTGTGAGCGAAATGGCGTCCCTACAGGTTTGCAAAATGCATGTCATCTCTTATGTATTCCCTTGATGGTATATCACTGGTTTTTTTTCTTCCAACTCCTTAACCATCATTCTTCTACTAACTCCTTTGTGATCATGTACCTGTCTTGCCTTGACCTGAAGAAGGGGACACTCCCGCTAAAGCTTGGTCCTTAAAAATGTATAGTTAGTTGCAAAATAAAAAAAAGTATCAACGGGAGACAAGATACTCATTGTTTTTCATTAGACAATCTAACAGGAGGCGGGCATGGTACAAGGCCCCAGTCACCACCACCACGCATTGCCCATATGCGCAAGAAAGTATATATTATGAAATATATTTTAAAAATATTCTTCCCCAAATATTATTGGACATTTGAAATGACTAACAATTTTAACCATATTTCTATATGATTTCAAAATATATTTCACATACCACTATATATATATTTTCTACATGTTGAAATGCGTTTTTATTACAAGAATATAGTGAAAAATATTATTTTAATTTAAAAAAAAAAAAAACAAAAAAAAGACATAAAAAAAAAAAATAAAAAAAAAATAACATAACAAAAAAAAAATAAAAAAAAAAACAATACTCATATTAAAAAAAAAAAAAAAAACAAAAAAAAAAAAAAAAACATAAAAAAAAAATTAAAAAAAATAAAAAAAAAAAAAATAAATAAAAAAAATGCAAAAAAAAAGAAAAATTAGATATGTAAAATAAAAAAAATTAATAAAAAATAAAAAATATAACATATAAAATTAAAAAAAATATGAAAAAAAAAAAAAAAATATGTAATAAAAAAAAAAAAAAAAAAAAATCTGTTGAATATATTTAAAAAATAATTAATATAAAAAAAAAAAAAAAAAAAATAATTAAAATAAAAAAAAAAAAAAAAAAAAAAAAAAAAAAAAAAAAAAAAAAAAAAAAGAAATCTATTCTTTTAAAAAAAAAAAAAAAAAAAAAAAAAAAAAAAAAAACTGCCTAAAAAAACCTCCATATAGTCCAAAATTTAACGAATTTAAAAACGTGGTTCTTTCGTTAAATGGGAGGAAGTATAAAAAAACTAAAATATAAAAAAAAAAAAAAAAAACGTCCTCCCAAAAGAAAAAAAAAAAAATAAAAAAAAAAAGATGCTAAAAAAAAAAAAAAAAAAAAAAGGGAGAGTAAAAAAAAGGACACAAAAATTAAAAAAAATTTTAACAATCAAAACGTTTCCACAGAAAGATTTGAAGAAAAAAAAAAAAAAAAAAAATAAATGTAAAAAAAAATCATACATGTGTTCCAATCACAGCTGTATCGTCATGTAAAAATACAAATCTACTAGACAATTTGCGGAATGCATTATCTCCATCACAAATGTGTATAAACATAATTTAAAATGACTGGCAGCACGTCTGAGGAGAAAAATCTGATGAACCGGTATTTAAAAAAATATATATATTGGAAAAAATTATATTTTTTTAACTGACTCGCCGCTCACACATATAGTCCCAATAGACGGTGCAACCGTGGTTCTGATCGTTCTGTGAGGACGTCATATGATCTTGTCCTCAACCATTCACACCGCGTAGCGCAGCTCCGGGATGCGCTCCTCAGACACAGCGGTATCAACAGTTCCCCACAAAAGAGCTGAAGATAGCGGCTCGTCATGTGATGCAGCTTGTCCCAATTTCACAGCTGATCGCACATGTAATACAGGGAATATGGCCGGTTATCTCCTCACGAGCTGTCACGCTGGCAGCTCGTGAGGAGAGGAGAACCGTCAATCGGCGTCATATCAGTGCACGGACATGTACACGCTAATCATCAGAGCACTGATATCAGTGTCACCGTTATAATTCTGTGTAGCCCCAGCAGTGCCAGTCTGTCAGTGTCCATCAGTGCCAGCGTCGTGCTCATGCATGCCAACCTGCCAGTCGCCACATCAATGCCACATATCAGTGCCTACCAGCGCACATCAATGCCGATCATTACATGTGGCCGATCTGATCAGCTTTTCAAGTGTCACCCATTCAGTGGCCAGTCCCTCCACCGATTAATGACCAATCTGCCAGTCAGTGCTCCGCCTATCTAGTGCCATTCAGTGCCCGCCTATCCATTGCTCACCAATCGAGTGCCCATCATGATGCCTGTCAATGCCCATCAGTGCAAAATCACTTATTTACAAAATTTTACAACAAAAACTAAGAAAACATTTTTTTTTTCAAAATTGTGGTTTTTGGTTTGTTTAAGAAAAAAATAAAAAACCCAGAGGTGATTAAATACCACCAAAATAAAGCTCTGTGACAAAAAAATGATAACAATTTCATATGTGTACAGTGTTGCATGACCGCGCAATTGTCATTCAAAGTGCAACAGCTCTGAAAGCTAGAAATTGGCTAAAAAAAAGCCAATTTAACATATATTTTTACATATGTTTGTAAATGCATTCCAAAAATGTAGATTTGTATTTTTAAAGACATACAGTGAAGGAAATAAGTATTTGATCCCCTGCTGATTTTGAATGTTTGCCCACTCACAAAGAAATGATCAGTCTAAAAATCGAATGGTAGGTGTATTTTAACACTGAGAGACAGAATAGCAACAAAAAAATTCAAAAAAAAAATGCATGTCTAACAAATTATGCACTGATTTGCATGTTCATGAAGGAAATAAGAATTTGATCCCCTATCATTCAGCAGGATTTCTGGCTACCAGGTGTCTTTCATACAGGTAACAATCTAAGATTAGAAGCAGTCTGTTAATGGGAGTGCTGCTAATCTCATTTTGTTACCTGTATAAAAGACACCTGTCCACAGGAGCAATCAAACAATCAGATTCCAAACTCTCCACCATGGCAAATAGCAAAGAGCTGTCCAAGGATGTAAGGGACAAGATTGTCGACCTACACAAGGCTGGACTGGGCTACCAAACTATCGCCAAGCAGCTTGGGGAGAAGGTGACAACAGTTGGTGCAATCATTCACAACTGGAAGAAACACAAAATAACTGTCAGTCTCCCTAGGTTTGGTGCACCATGGAAGATCTCACCTCGTGGAGTGTCAATGATCATGAGAACAGTGAGGAATCATCCCAGAACTACACATGAGGATCTTGTCAATGATCTCCAGGCAGCTGCAACCACATTCACCAAGAAAACAATTGGTAACACACTACGCCAACAAGGATTGAAATCCTGCAGTGCCACAAGGTCCCTCTGCTCAAGAAAGCACATGTCCAGGCCTGTCTGAAGTTTGCCACTGAACATCTGAATGATGCAGAGGAGGACTGGTTGAAAGTGCTGTGGTCAGATGAGACCAAAATCGAGCTCTTTTTGCTGTTTGCGGGCTTTCTTGTGCATCAACTGTAGAAGAGGCTTCCTTCTGGGACAACAACCATGTAGACCAATTTGATGCAGTGAGCGGGGTATGGTCTGAGCTCCCCACCCCTTCAACTTCTGCAGCAATGCTGGCAGCACTCATACGTCTATTTCCCAAAGACAACCTTTGGATATGACACTGAGCACATGTACTCAACGTCTTTGGTTGACCATGGTGAGGCCTGTTCTGAGTGGAACTTGTCCCGTTAAACTGCTGTATGGTCTTGGCCACGGTGCTGCAGCTCAGTTTCAGGGTCTTGGCAATCTTCTTATACAGTGAGGAACAGAAGTATTTGAACACCCTGCAATTTCTTCCACTTAGAAATCATGGAGGGGTCTGAAATTCACATTGTAGGTGCATTCCCACTCTGAGAGACAGAATTTAAAAAAAAATTCAGGAAATCACATTGTATGATTTTTAAAGAATGTATTTGTCTTGCACTGCTGAACATAAGTATTTGAACACCTGAGAAAATCAGTGTTAATATTTGGTACAGAAGCCTTTGTTTGCATTTACAGAGGTCAAACGTTTCCCATAGTTCTTGACCAGGTTTGCACACACTGCAACAGGGATTTTGGCCCACTCCTCCACACAGATCTCCTCTTGATCTGTCAGGTTACGGGGCTGTCGCTGAGCAACACTCAGGTCTGGAGACTGGCTAGGCCACTCCAGAACCTTGATATGTGTCTTACAGAGTATGCTGTTACACAGTTAATATTTATGTTAATGTATATGAGAATTCATATAGTTTATTCTTTGTACCATGTCCTATGGATATTTCTATAGTTAGTTATATGCCGCCCCCAGTGGCCTTATTTGGTAATGCATTTGTTTTTCATATTACCTCCCTGAGATCTATGACAAAATTCCTTTGCATATGAAGCTCCTCCCTTCTTCTTGAGTACAGCACTTCCTGTGTCATGGATGCAGCTAACAGTCCACATGTAACAGGGACACATGTATTCTGCGTAGTACGCTACATAAAGTATCATCTTTTGACCACATAATACTGGAAACCATTCTTTCTGCTGTATCCTGTTGTCACATGTACAGAATAAAGCAACTTCTGGATGAACACAGTATTGGTGAGTTCAGCTATCTGATAAGGATTGCCCACAGTGATTATATCTGCTTATACAGGCTAGGCATAGAGGTCTCACAAGGGATAAATTGCTATCACAACAATCTGAGTCAGAATACAGAGCCACTCCTTGGTTATCCTGGCTATGTGCTTGGGGTCGTTGTCATGTTGGAAGACCCAGCCACGACCCATCTTCAATGCTCTGACTGAGGGAAGGAGGTTGTTGCTCAAAATCTCACAATCACAAAATCTCACAATAAATGGCCCCATTCATCCTCTCCTTAATACAGTGCAGTCATCCTGTCCCCTTCGCAGAAAAGCCCCCCTCCCCAAAGCATAATGTTACCACCCCCATGCTTCACAGTAGGGATGGTGTTCTTGGGATGCAACCCATCTTTCTTTTTCCTCCAAACACGACGAGTGAAGTTTAGACCAAAAAGTTCTACTTTGGTCTCATCTGACCACATGACTTTCTCCCATGCCTCCTCTGCATCATCCAGATGGTCATTGGCAAACTTCAGACAGGCCTGGACATGTGATGACTTGAGCAGGGGAACCTTCCGTGCAATGCATGATTTGAAACCATGACGGCTTAGTGTTCTCTACCGACAGCGACCTTTGAAACTGTGGTCCCAGCTCTCTTCATGTCATTGACCAGCTCCTCCCTTGTAGTTCTGGGCTGATTCCTCACCTTTCTTATCATCAGTGATACCCCACGAGCTGAGATTTTGCATGGAGCCCCATTCCGAGGGAGACTGACAGTCGTCTTTAGCCTCTTCCATTTTCTAACAATTGCTCCAACAGTTGATCTATTTTCACCAAGCTGCTTGGCAATTGCCCCGTAGCCCTTTCCACCCTTGTGGAGGTCCACAATTTCGTCTCTGGTGTCTTTTGATAGCTCTTTGGTCTTGCCCATGGTAGTAGTTGGCGTCTGACTGACTGTGGGGTGGACAGGCGTCTTTAAAGAGCTCAGACAGGTGCTACTAAGTTAGATTAATGAGTGGAGTAGAGGTGGACTTTTTAAAGGCACAGTAACAGGTCTTTGAGAGCCAGAATTCTTGCTGCTTCTTAGGTATTCAAATACTTATGTTCAGCAGTGCAAGACGAATAAATTCTTTAAAAATCATACAATGTGATTTCCTGATTTGTTTTTTAAATTATGTCTCTCAGAGTGGGAATGCACCTACAATGTGAATTTCAGACCCCTCCATGATTTCTAAGTGGGAGAACTTGCAAAATCGCAGGGTGTTCAAATACGTCTGCTCCTCATTGTAGCCTAGGCCATCTTTATGTAGAGCAACAATTCGTTTTTTTTTTTTCAGATCCTCACAGAGTTTTTTGCCATGAGGTGCCATGTTGAACTTCCAGTGACCAGTATGAGAGAGTGAGAGTGATAACACCAAATTTAACACACCTACTCCCCATTCACACCTGAGACCTTGTAACACTAAGGAGTCGAGTCACATGACACCGGGGAGGGAAAATGGGTAATTGGTCCCAATTTGTTTCCAGAGGTTTAGACATTAATGGCTGTGTGTTGAGTTATTTTGAGGGACAGCAAATGTACACTGTTTTCAGTGTTGTCACATGAAAAGAAATAATAAAATATTTATCCTACACAACAGCAAAGTTTCATAGATCTGGAAGGAATACAAGCACATATCAACATTCCATAAAGAATACACATGCTTCTTGTACTTACACAATACTCGTTTAGTCTGGAGTTCAGTTTTAAAACCTGATCAAGATTCTTCTTTTTTATCCAAAGCAAAGAAAAAAATGGTTTTGACTTGGGATCACTGCATTAAAATAACATCCATTTTAGAATAGTCTAGAGTACCAGCTCCAAGAACCCTGATGCCCAACACAAGGCCTACAGGCCCTCTGCATGCAGCCCACAGGCTACTGGGCACCATACAGTAAGCAGAACGCACTTGGCAATGGATGAAAGATAGACTGTACTGCTGGTGGAGTTATCTCTGTCCACAGTACAAGCAAAATCTCGTCCTGGGGAGACAAAGCAGTGCGGGAGCATGTGATGGGTAAGTGATTACCAATGGGGGTATGGAGTTAACATTCAATGCCACTGACCTAAATGGCCTTGATGTGGGGTTAACTTTCACTATCACTGCCACAATCTTCTGGGGCAGGGCTGGATCTAGACAGTCTGAGGTAGGGGTGCAGTAAAAAATCTCAGGGTGGGGCAGAGGATGTGAGGTCAATAGGGCAGTGTATACGGAGCCAGCAGGGCAGAAGATAGGGTCAGCAGCTTATAGGGCAGTCTACAAAGGTAATTTCGTATTGTAGGACAGTGTACAGAGGGTTATCAGAGCAGAGGACAGCATACAAAAGAGGCACAGCAACCAATCTGCCACAGTGGTGTAATCAGGCTAACAGATTGATGCGTGTTGGTCCTGTAAGGGCAAATCCGAATCTCGAGCTATGTGTATGGTGAGGAGAGGTGGAATATAAGTTATTGTCCCTTATTTCACATCTCAGGAATAAAATCGAGCTCCTCTAGAAACAAAATCAAGCAGTACTGAACAGCAACGCACACAAACCCTAAAGCATAAATTCCCATCTGCAAGCCAACAGCACAATTGAATATAACTCCCCCTCCTGTTGGAGTCCAAGGTCCCCCCTCTTCAACACAAATATTTGCCACACAATCCTCCCGTCCCACCCAAATCCCCCCCAAATTCCCCTTCCTAGCACAAAGCCGTCCCAGAGGCTCCGCGCCTCTTAACCCATACTCCCCCTCACCATCCTAGCACAAAGCCCGCTCCCCCAATCCCCCTCTTAGCCCAAATCCACCACCCCCTCGTAAGCAAAAACTCCCACCACCAAAGCCCCTCCACCTAAGGGGGGTGGGGGGGGGGGGGGGGACACAGATTCCACCCCCTCCTAGCACATAATTCCCCCAATCCCCTCCTCCTAGCTAGCACATATTCCCCCAATCCCCTTTGCCTTGCACATATCCCCCCACATTCCCCCCTCACCTTTCTCCATATCCCCACCCCCAATCCACCCTCCAAGAGCACATATTTCCTATTTCCCAATCCCTTCTCCATAAGAGCCGCATATCCCCCTCGTTTCACCTCCTAGCACATATCCGTACACCTATCCCCTCTCCGAAACACATAGTCTCCCCCAATCCCATCCCCCCTCATAGCACATACCGCTCCAGGTCCCCCCATTCAAAAACACATTCCTCCCCCCGCCCAATAACCCTTCCTAGCACATATTCCCTCAAATAACCCCCGTCCTAGCAATAATCCCCCCTAATCTCTCCTCCTTGCACATATCCCACATAGTCCTCCTCCTTGCACATATCCCCCCTCATATCGCTCTCCTCTTTGCATGAAATCCCCCCAGATCCCTCCTCCTTGGCACATAGTTCCTTTTCCACCATCCCTCCTCCTTGCACATTTTCCCCCCTAATTCGCGCCTCCTTGCACATGGAATCTCCCCCAAGCCCTCCCTTCGTGCACATAATCTCCCCAACCCCTCCTCCTTGCACATATCTCCCCCAATCCCCCCCTTGCAATATCTCCCTAATCCCCCTCCTTGCACATACCCCCCTTTTCCCTCCTCCTTGCATATATCCCCCCAAT